AAATGTTATGTAATGTAATACATTTGGGAATTTGTCAAAAAAAGAGGTTTATATGTTACAGAGAGTTCAGTATGACTGATGGTCAAAATGACGGACAACAACATCTTATCAGCAGCTTGGAATGTCCATCATTTATCTGTCATACCATAAATTCTACTGGCACAGAGCTAAGTGTCCTCACCTTGCCATTGGCACGGTTGATTTTACTGACCACATCTGCAAGCAAAACTTTATCCTCCACCAAGCTATTGAGCTTCTGGTACTTTGGGTTTTTGGTTATCTCCACATAGTCTCCTTTGAAAGGCTGCCCCATCGCTTACGAAATGTAAATATAAATGTAAACAAGCAAGCCCAGCCCAGATGAGAAAAAGTAACCCAAAAGCAAAGTAATGCATTACTTTCCTTAAAAAGTAATGCAGTAATGCAATTAATTACTTTTTTTAGGGAGTAACGCAATATTGTGATGCATTTCTTTTAAAAGTAGCTTTCCCCAACACTGGTGTCTGGGCCTTTACATGGAACTGAGTTAAAGTATAGAGTTATAGAACTGAATCAGTGTTGGGGGTACTCGAGGACCAGCATGGTAACCATTAGTTATTTCCTAGGCCTAGATGCAATATGTGAGTGTCAGTGAGGTCAGACAATGATGATGGGTGATGGGGTCTGGCCTGATGGTCCTGTTCATCCCAAAGCTGTTCAGTGAGGTTCTGGTCTGGATTTGTGCAAGTCAGTCAAGTTCTTCCACACCAGACTAATTTCTACATGGACGGAGTGATTGTCATGCTGGAACAGAGAAGGACACGTGGCAATATAATGTATTTAATAAACAAACACAAAAGAATTCAGTCCATCCATGGCTGCAGTATTATATTGGCAAACTTTCACATTAGCACCACTCACTGATAGTGATGGTATGAACTGGAATAAGACCAGCTGCATATTTTGTCAGTGACTTAGAAACCGTGTTGAAACTGCTGGGAGTGACATTCTGTGGACAGGAACTTTGAGACTGGGAGCTCACTGTATCATCTCATCAGAGAAACACTGAGCGTTTGCTAAAGTCAGCAGTGTCCTATCTGGAGCAGAGCGAATGTGAGATAGCAGGTGCGTTATGCAACTGTATTATCACCAGAACTAGTTCACGTAATGAGTCCTGGTGCTCTTTTCACAGCTCAATCACAGTTTGACCCATTTCTTTATTTTAAGACAGTCTGTTTCTCAAATAATCTTCAGCCTCATATCTGCAGCAGGAGGTTAATTTCTGTCCTCATTTTCTGAACTAAAAGCTTCTGTTGTAACCCAGTTCATAATATGAGCGCTAATTTTGATGTCCATTCTGTCTCTACCAGTGTTTGCGAAAGTTACTTTCATAAGTAATGCATTACAATATTGCGTTACTCCCTAAAAATGTAAGTAATTGTGTTACTTTTTATGCAAAGTAATGTGTTACATTACTTGTGCGTTACTTTTTCTCACATGGGCTGGGCTTGCTAACAAAACTGCATATTGAAAGACAAAACTCTTTCAGGTGACACACTAAATGCAGATGTTAATTTCAGTGTGCTTCTTTAGTAGTATGCAAATACTTGTGCTAAGCCTTTATCTTGAATCTCCCATATGAGCAAAGGTCCTGAAACACATAGCTCATAGTTATGAAAACTTTTGAATGATTTAACATGAATGGACAGACAGGAAGCTTCATACTGAGCAAAGAGTCTCATGTTATAGTCTTACAATACTTCCTTTTATATGGTAAACCTGACGACTTAGTGGACAGAAGACATATGCTGATGATCTGAACTGACTCTGTGCAGCACTATAAAGATTTTGCTCTACAAGGTTTTGTAGACTGCAGGGTGCAGGTATGAATACTTTAATCATTTTCATCACTGTTGATAAATTAGCTTTGTCTTATCATGTAGGTTTAGAGGTGTGTTGGATTTTAAGATTTAAGATGTCCAGCATTCAGTGCATTGTGTTTTCATTTATATTATTATAGTTGGCTGCTTTGAATGGCTGCTGTCAATGTTCCCTTTGATTTTAGCAGTCATTTCCTGGACGTTGAGTTTAATAATGGGGGCGTCATGTGAAATTGACAGGTGCTGGCAACCAGGAAAACACCCAGCATTTGTGTCTAGTCCATCAGGTTTTGGCTTTACAATGAGCAGTAATGAGTTATGCTGATATAGTCTGTATGGTGCCAGCCAAATATGTTGCCAGCCAAGCAAATGCCCCACTCTAATAAGATTTCTCCAGAACTTCCTGCTGTTTTGACAATGCTCCCACATAATGTAGCTATGGTACAGCACTTCACAAAGCACAAATCCCAACCCTGCGCCTGGAGGACTTCTGTACCTTCCTGCTGACTTCAGTTCCAGCTCTGCTCCAACACACCTGCTTGTGTTCTTCAAGTAATCCTGAAGACCTTGATGAGCTGGTTCTGGTGGGTTTGATTAGGGTTGGAGCTGAACTGTAGGAAGCTAACGCTCCAGGAGCAGGGTTGGCCCTCCATGCTTTAAAGGGACTTTAACTGTGACTCGTTTCAATAGAGTGCTGCAGGGACGACATATTTGTGTTGGCCAAAACCTGGAAACGAGTTGGCCTTTTAGCACTTACAGTCAGAGCTAGATTACTTACAAATCGTAATCGTTACTGATTCCAAATTACATGACAAAAATTGTAGTTAGTAACATAATCCAATACATTACACATTTTAGTTAATATAATCAGACTACTTTTAGATTACTTTTGACCTATCTCGTTTTCCACATTGATTTAAATATGATAATCTTATTGATATAAAAATACAAAGAGTAAGAAAATATATTCTATTTGTTGTTTTCAACATCATGAAGTGCATTAAACATTATATTACGTCTATTTCCCAAACTGGGTTTGTGAAGGAAATGCAGGGGGTTCAATGAAAAGCCAATAATTAATTAAATCATTAAAATGTTAAATTGTGAATTTGTAAATTTGTGCATTTTAATGTGTTTGAAAGACAAGCGCCTTCCAAAGTAATACATGGTAAAATAACCGACTGAGTGATCATTCAAATAAGAATTAATGTGTTTAGTAGTTGATGCAATGTTCAAATACTTCTTAAACCTGAAGAGATTTTTGTAAATCCAGTGGTCAGATCAATGCTGTGTAGCCACCTGAATAATGACTGATCTCTGTGTCAATGTCCACAAAACTGGAAGACTTTCAATTAATATGTAATCATGTAATCCATAAAAAAGTAACTGTAGTCTGATTACGAGTATTTTAAAATGTCATGTAATCTACCAGTACTTAATTTTTGGAATCTGATTACTTAATACATATTACATGTAATCAGTTACTACCCAGCTCTGCTTACAGTTCCCTTGTCCTAAAATCAATATGTTTTTTGAATGGGTTTTTGGCGGAAATACTTTATGCAGTTTCAGAAATGTTTTTGTTAAAAACCAACTCTCACTGTACGAGTAAATTGCATGCGATGTCAAGCCAAAGCTCACAATTTATGTGCTCACACTATACTGTCCAATCATCAAGCTTCAATTTCACTGCTCACACTATACGTGTGAAATGTGGGACCCCCCCCAAACCTGGAACTGTGGTTATTTCAGAAAAAAGGAAAATGCTTTCCAGGGAGAATCACCGTGTGGCCATGGTTTAATTTTTGCTTTCACCAGGCTCGACTCAAAAAAGAGTCATACGACTCAGAAATCAGCTCAACCAATCACACAGTGTATGCCCTGTGGTTAACACAAGCTCAGTACATTTTCACATCAGAAAATACACCAGTAATAGCACATTGTGATTTCTTTAAAGCTTTTTACTCAAAAATTGTCTTGAAAATTGTGGTTGCTAACAAGTAGCTATATGGAACTACAGAGGTGGTTAAACGCTTTCACAGCCTCATTTTGTTTATTAAACACACTCTTGTAAACTATTCTAACACAAACTTGAAGGGAAACCACTAAAATAAAGATGGAAAGAGTTGTCAAAAGTGATGCAACCATGATGTAGTTCATTTACAGCCGTATAGCTTCTACTTAGGCTTCCAAATTTATTAAAGTTTTGTTCACTTGTGAAGATTATCATGATGAACAAATCATTTAAGAATTTCAGTCTTTTGTTGGTCAACAGAGCTTATTTTCTGCCATAATCCAAAAGCCAATAGAAAAATCGTTTTGGGTTTTTGTTAGTGGAACAAGGGTGATGCAAACGTTTGGGTGGTCCACAAAAATACATCATCACTGCAGCACTCAATTCATCATAGTCTAATAAATCATGTTAAAATGCTCTTCTTTGAAATAAACCATTTCTCCAACTAAATTTATGGGAAAAAAATGCAATCTGGGTGGACCAGTGCCGCCCTGGCCCTTATGCTCCTGGGACCCGACCCTTGTGAAACTTGAGCTTTTCACCCAACACAGAAAGATTAGCCATCCTTACAGGAAATAGGAGATCATCATCATGGTAAGACTTCCTTCCTCTGCGGCCGTCCAGCTGCAGTCACCCTCCAGGGCCCATCAGCGCCAGTCTCCTACCAGCCCACGGAATGAGGTCCCTCTGATTCACCATCTGCAGAGCCAGAGAGCCAGGGGTCACCTAGACCCGTCTGTTCCAGGAGGTGCGCTAAAATATTAGAATATTAAGAATAATTGCATTGACCTGTATTGGATTACTGCACTGCTCAAGCTACAGCTCTTCACTGAGAATCAAAATCAGGACAGCTGTCACAGTCCACACTAGATGGGACAGAATTCTCTAATTGGGTTTTACGTCAAGGGAATTCTGAAATCATGAGCCAGATGAGTCCTTATTGCCCCAAACTCCCTTCTGCTGCCAGAGTGAGCTTCCTCCATTCAGAAGCGGGATCGGACACTAACGCCAGGAATCCAGGGATCAAACCTAAACTGAGCCCCAAGCCTCTTGTTCTTCCACCGGTAAGCCCCAGCAAGCCGCGGCAGCCGCACATGAGCTGGGTGCACAGCGCCAAACAGAAAGAGGAAGCTGGAGTGAAAGAGAGGACGTCCTTTCTGTCTGCTGTCATCGAGCGGACCTCAAAGCTGTATGGATACACACCTGCGCTGCATCCCAGCTCCTCCGGGGAGACTTCATCACTGACGGCAGAAGCACAGTCTATTGCAACACAGACCGCCATGGTGCCATCGGCCAGACTTAGACCTGCAGTTCCTGTGAAGGTATATGTGCTTTTACTAATGCTGCTTCTCTGTTATTTATTCACCACACGGGGAATTTAGATACGCTTATGTGTATATCTGATGGGTTTATGCTGTTTTATGAAGTTTATTTACTACATATAACTGATTCTGTGTGATGTGCATGTCGTGGTCTAGTCTGCTCAGTGCTGTTTTAGACTGGTTTGAAGAGAGCATCTTTGGGATTTGAGCATGCTGGGTAATGTTTGTCTCTCCACCCAGATGGGCTGATTACAGCTGAATACCTCACATTAAATGGACTAGGACCAATTTTCATCTTCCTACTTTACTTTTTAAAAGTTGGAGAATTGTAAAATGGCTCAAAACCAATTTGGACATTGAATTCATACTTAAAATGTGACCCTGGAGCACAAAACCAGTCTTAAGTCGCTGGGGTATATTTGTAGCAATAGCCAACAATACATTGTATGGGTCAAAATTATTGATTTTTTATGCTAAAAATCATTAGGATATTAAGTAAAGATCATGTCCCATGAAGATATTTAGAAAATTTCCTACTGTAAATATATCAAAACTTAATTTTTGATTAGTAATATGCATTGCTAAGAACTTCATTTGGACAACTTTAAAGATGATTTTCTCAATATTTAGATTTTTTTTCACCCTCAGATTCCAGATTTTCAAATAGTTGCATCTCAGCCAAATATTGTTCTATCCTAACAAACCATACATCAATGGAAAGCTTATTTATTCAGCTTTGAGATGGTTTCTAAATATCAATTTTAAAAATCGACCCTTATGACTGGTTTTGTGCTCCAGGGTCACAAATGAGTGAATGTATGGAGAAAATATCAAGATGTGTGTCATTTATGATAGCACAACCACACTTTAAGCAAAATATCTGAGTTTGTACAGTTTGTGGTCACTCTGCTCAGACACTTGGGTGAACTTCATACATACACTAAAAGCTGATGAAGCATTTATTTGATCAGATCGCTTGCCTTGATATTTTGTTTTCTAGTGTTATGACTTAGAGTCCACATACTTTTTGGGGCCACTGTATTCTTCTTTTAGATCCTCACATTCTCAAATACAGCAGATCAAATTATATTCATGATAGTGAAATGTTATTTTGTTTTAACATGCTTTAAAGATCATTTCTTACCAAAGCAACACAAACATCACAGCAGCACAGAATTAATATTAAATTAAGACCAGATGAACTGAATCATGCAAATAAATTACCAGAGGAAAAAAAGAGACACAAAGAGGTGGTGATCAATCAAATACAGATCATTAATAAACAAAATTACACAGATATTTTTATCCAAGCAAAATACAGTGCATATTCATGTATTCATGTAAGCAACATGCCGTATATAGAAACTATTAGTGCTGTAGTTTCTCTGGGATCTTCAAACAATGTTCAATGTTCAGTTTAGCAATATCAAACAAGTGCTGTTGATATTTAGTACAATAGCACAGTATACAGTTCTGAATGTGATGCTTGATTTTATAACTGTTCAATAAACAAGAATTTAATCTTGAGTGATTTAACTTTCAGACAAAACTGGGCCAGAAGTAAAAAAAAAGAGTTGAACTTTGGGTCTTTTTGATAATTACAAGTTTGTATTTGAACCTCTTTTACATATATACATTTAATTATTTCATCCAAAGTGACTTACAAACACGGCCAATTTAGTAACAGGAACCAACAGTGTATTTGCAGTACACAGCGCCAAGTTTCACATGCATCAGCACAGTCTTAAAGGGGTCATATGATGCTATTTCAAGTTTTCCTTTCTCTTTGGAGTGTTACAAGCTCTTGGTGCATAAAGAAGATCTGTAAAGTTGCAAAGACTAAAGTCTCAAATCCAAAGAGATATTCTTTATAAAAGTTAAGCGTCAACCACGCCTACCTAAAACGGCTCGTTCTAACACGCCCCCACATATCTACGTCACGATGTGGGAAGATTTGCATAACGCCGCCCAAATGTTCACGCAAAGAAAGAAGGCG